TCTGTAATCCAAATATTTCTATTACCTGGTTTTAAAAAGCAGGTGATAAAAACTGTAGGAAAATGAGCAGAGTATTGGAAGAGGTGTGAATACTCTCAAGCACATGGTGTGCCTCTTTGGGATGGGCCTGCAGGGCAGGGAGCTGGACTCAGTGATCCTTGTGGTTCCCCTCTGACTCCACACATTCTGTGATTCTATGGTATGGCAGAAAGGTGAAGGGAATTGCCATATCCTTCACTTTCTAGTCAGGTTTTTAGAGCTAGAGAATCAGTCACCTCTGGTTGGTTTGCTGTGTAAAATACACCAGAGAACCTTTGAATTCCACACTGATCTAAGCAATGAAGGTTTGTGGTTTTTTCTTCTATAAAGACACATGCAAACTTGATGAAGTGATCTCAGGTACTCTCTGGTGCACGCAACACTGTGACAGCAGGGGCTGCCTGCTGAGTTCTAGTGAGCAGGAATTGTTTGGTAGACCAGGAAAACTTGCTGTAGCTGTGGAGGGAATATCCCTTTCCTGGCATTCTGGCTCTCGCAGTATCCCTCTTTTTGTCTGTTTTTATGTTCCTGCTGCATAAGACTGACGCCCTGCAGGAAGGGGAGTGGGGCACATGTTCCTCTATGCTCATGTGTGGGCTCAGTGCTTCTGTGTGGTGTGTGCATTTCCGTAGCTGATGCCTGATAAGTCCTTCTGTTTGGCCTTTTAACAGGACAGTGTCCCAATGGGCTCTCCTGCCTTCCTTCTCTCTCTCTTTGTAAGTATTGAAAGGCTCCAGCAGGTTCTGCAGTACTGCTGCCAGGTGCTCTGCTCCTTGTCTGGGTGATCACTGCACTGTCACAGCATCCTTAGCACTGCAGCAGGGTGTGTTTGACTTGGGGGCTGCACCACTGTGAGCTGAGAAGAGAAATCTCAGTCCCTTACTCTCAAAATGGGTGAGCGGGTGGGGCTTGTCTTTTCTTCTGGTTCCAAGTGTTTTTGTTTTGTCATCTGCTTTTGCTTTTTTCCATGACTTCTCTCCTGCTTTCTTTCCATGTAAGTGGGAAGACAAACCCAAGTGGTGCAGTCCTGTAGTTCCTACATCTCTCATGTTTATACAGCTGCCCCTTCCACACGTCCGAGGCAGTACAAAAGGTCTTGGGAGAGTGAGGAGTCAGCTGTGTGTCCTTTATCCGTTCCTGGTTCAGAAAGCAAATAAGACTCTGCAGAAATATCTTGCTCTGTGCCCGTGGTGATCTGGAAGTGTTTGGAAAAATATTCCCTCTGGGAAACCCCAAGTCTCTGAGTTACTGTGAGGAGAGAGAGGAGGAAGATGGCGAGCTGTGCTTACCTCTCACATGTATCTAAAGACAGAGGAGTACTCCAGGAGAGGCAGCAGATCAGCCAGAGAGAGGATCAGAGGAAGCTCTCAGCTCACCTTCTGCTCGTGGAAAGGAGCTGTGTGGAGGAACTAGGGAGCTAGTGCCAGGGTCACTCAGCTGGAGGAGCACTTCCCATAGGGATCAGCTGATAAGGTAGGTTAGTCAGCAGTTTTCCTTTTCCCACCTTAAGCTAGAATCTGTTGCTTAGGGGGAAGCCTGCACTGTCCAGGCTCCAAAAGCATCTACATCTGGGCCAGAGGTGTTGCCTCTCTGTGCCCTGGCTCCAGCAGGGCAGAGATGCTGCCAAGCCCAGCACCCTGCTGTGGCCAGATCCAGCTTTAGGTAGGTCTGCAGGCAGGCCTTGGCAGGGACTGCTTCCCTTTCTCCTGATGGGAAGGCATGAAAAGTTGTTGCCAGATACAGAATTCCCTCTGTCCCTCCCTCCTTCCCTCCTGCCTGCCGGAGGGACGTTCCCGTGGGGTTGTGTAACTCTGTTTGTTTGCCTTGTGAGCAGGACGGAGGCACCAGAGGGCGGCGCTGCGCCATCGAGGCAGACATGAAGATGAAGAAATGATGCTGCAGACACAAAATCCCAGCAGAATCCCAGGCATCCGAAGCTGGAGTGTGAGCAGACAGCTCTTAACAGCTGTTGGAGGAGGAAGAAAAGCTGCAGGTCCATTTCTGGGACCTGGTTCACCACCTTCGCTTGCCCTTCTGGAAAGCAGTGTCTTGTCAGAATGTGTAACCCAAAGAAACTCCCCTAGAGGGGAAGAGCAGCCCCCCTGCCTGTTTTAGGGCAGTTGTCTTGGGCTTCATCAGTGTCCTGGTGTTAGCTAGCAGCTGGTGGCTCGTACGTACTGTAATGTGAAGTGTACAGATTTTTACTAGTGCTGTGTAAATGTGATGTATATTAAAATCTGGGAACAAACCCGTGTGCAGTGTACTGAGCATCACAGCTCTGCAGGGAGGAGCCCTGTGGTACAAGCCTGGATCCCCACCTGGACTATCTGCAAATATAATTCTTTTCCAGTTATCCCTGTAGCACACATGCATGGCAGAGCTCTGATGTTAGAGACAATCCATAAATCACAGGAATGCTGCACAGTGCTTGCATGGAGAGGAAGATTCCCTGCTTGAGTGTGTGAGGATACAGCAGCACTGTGGTGACGCTGGAGATCAAACCTTGAGAAGTTAAATACTGCAGTCTTGTTGGAGCTTTCCTTAGGAGAAAATGCATTGAAAAGGACTTGACATTCTTTCCCCTGAGATCTGTGGAGGCTGCACTAGTCAGAGTGAAAATCTGTGATCCCAGCAGCTGTAGGCAGGATTGCCAGTACCTGGTTTCACATCTGAGCTTGTGCCCTGTTTCTACTGGGAATTACAGTCCTTTTCCTCAGCAACATGAAGGTTTAAGTTCTCTGAAGAATTTCCAAGTCACTTTTTCTGCTCATATGACCTGAGATGAAACTTGCATGTTTTCTGCCCACACAACCTTACATGGGGGAAAAGAAAACAACAGAATGACACCATCCATGATTGCTGCAGCAGCTGGGAGTGCTCTGCCCTCCGTGCAGCATATCCAGGGTGCAGCTTTCTGGTAGACAGGTTTCAGGAAACTGAGTCACTGGGATTAAGACCAGAGGCATTGTTCCCTTATCCAGTAAGAGTTCTCAATTTTCACAAGTTCAGTGTTGAAGTTGGCCGTGCCTGCTGTGTCAAGTCCTGTGTATTGCTGAGGTGAATTTTCACCAAGAGTCACCTTACTGATGTGGAAATGCTGAAACTCCCTTGGATTGGTGATTGGTTAATTGTCTTTGGCTGTTAAACCCGGGAGCAAACTTCTGGTTTGAATTTTTGTTGTTCTCAGTTCATAGCACAAAAAGCTACAGAGATCTTTGTCTTTCATGCATTTTATGGAGTGATTTCAGTTAGGGACAAACATTTTAGCATTGCCTGTTGTGACAGGACAAGGTGATGGTTCTAAACTAAAAGAGGGCCTATTTAGACTGAGTGAAGATTTTTTTTTTTTTTTACAATGAGGGGGGGGAGGCCCTGGCACGGGTTACCTGGAGAAGCTGTGGATGCCCCATCCCTGAAGTGTTGGAGGCCAAGTTGGATGAGGCTCTGAGCAGCTTGGAATAGTGGAAGGTGTCAGGACCAGTCAGCCTTTAAAGGTCCCTCCCCACCCAACCTGTTCCACGATTCTAAGCTGGAAAGAACCTCTGTACATTCCCTTACTTCATTCAGCTGCTCAGAGCAGGGCCAGCTTCAAATATTTACCTTACACCCAGTCAGAATTTCCTGTGAGGCAACTTGTCATCCCTGTCTCCTGTCACTTTGGGCTCTCAGAAGAGTCTGGCTCCATCTCTAACTCCTCTGCCCTGCCATTGTCTCTGCTGTAAAAATGAAGGTGCAGCACAGGAGAAGACCTTTCTCAGACCCTCTGGTGACTTGCTTCCATCACAGCAAGCATTGCTGTTCCCTCCTACCCTTGGTTTCTTTTCCTAACCAGGTATTTTTCTCTCTTTTCTCTTGTCCCATGACATTTTAATAGTCTTTAATGATTTTAAGAGCTTTAAAATTCCAAGACAGGATTTTCTCTATGGAGCCTCATTCCCTCTTTCCCAATTCATCATCTCATGCTCTGACTACTTACTAATTCTCTTCTTCCTAATACTTTGTTCTAATCTGTCTGGTACAGAGCTGTGTTTTACTGTGCTGCACCCACCCTTTTACAGACAGATAAAACTGTCACCCCTTTCTGGTTTTCTTCTTAAATGACAACTTACACAGCATAGGCTTGGTCACGTTATATTTAAGCTTCTTTAGATCTCACAAATAAATCCCAGTGGGTTCTAAGGTTTATTCACTCTCTCAAATTGTTCTAAAATCTCCCCTGTTGACATTTTAATTAGATTTCATCTCTCAGACCCATCCCAAGAGAAGGTCTCATGTGAGCTCCTCTGTGGCAACTGCTGATAATGATGATTAATTTGGTTTTTCCAACTGGCCCTATTTTCCACTGAGATGTTTGGCACTGATCATGTTTCATCCCCACTGATCATCTGGCAGCTCTCTCTGCTTCTGATGTTTTTGATGAAGTTTTTTGTTTTTATTTGCTTTTATGTCTTTAGCAAATTGTTCTTTTTCCTTTTTTTTTTTCCTACTTTATGTGGATTCTATATTTCATTTATTAGAGCTCAGGCTTTTATCATTTTTCTTGTTTTGACATGTAAGTTCTTTTTAAAGGCTGTCTTTTTGATTTCTAACAGCTTTTTCCCAGAACAGCAAGGGTTGTGCAGTGTCTGATCTCTGCAAAGTGAACTAAAACTTTCCAATTTGAGAGAGGTTCTTTGCTAGTGACTTACGTAGCCAACATAATTAAGAACTGTCAGGCAATTCTTAATTAAAGTTCAAGTCTGTGTCATTTTGTCCGGAATTGGTGTAGAGCTGAGCTGTCTGTGATTATTTCACTCATCATGTCTTGCACTGTTCTCTGTTCTGCTCTCTGGCATCTTGAGTCTTCCAAGATTTGATAAAACTGAACATAAGGCTGAAGATCTCTCTAATCTTATGCCCAAGTTCCCAGGACTTCCTGATTTTCAGCATTTATCCCTCTGGAGCACAGAAGGATGATCACAAGTGATCAGATTACCCCAGGCTGAGGCTTTTCTGTGCCTCTGCTTGTGGCAGCAGGAGAGAGCTCCAGGCACAGGCTTTCTCCTCAGATGGAATCTCAGTTTGCCCAACTCCCTCACCTGGAAGCTGAGAGCAGGTAATGTTATCTCCTACCTCATCAAATTTCATCTGCTGCCACTGAAGTGAACTTTGAAAGAGGTTTCAGCAGGACAGGCTTTCAGATCCCAACTCTGCTTCCAAGTTCACAAAATAAGCAAAGCAGTGTCCTCATCCCAGACCCTGTGGATTCTGTATTTCTCCCAGTTATGCACCAGAAGCTGAATTTGGAGCTGTGCTAGCAGTCCTGAGAATGGAAAAGACAATCAGTGAGAAATGTGCTTGTGTAAAATTCTGAAAAAAATAGGTTCTACGTAATTAACTGAAGACTCTAAAGACAGTGTTAATTAATGCATAGAATTCATAGGTGCAGCATCCAGGCAGCTCCATTCAGTGGCAAGGTGAGGATTTTGTGCCATCCTTTACTGTTGTACTGTGGCTCTGCAATCAATTCCCCAGGCTTAGAGGACTCAGAGTGCACTCATGCAGTAGAAGACATTTAGGCATGGACTAATGAACAGAGATGAAAGAGAACCTCCTTCTTAAGAGAATGCAAACTTGTATTTTCTGCAGTGGATGGAACTGTGCCTGTTGGTGTGTGACGACTGTGTGGTTATAATTGTTCTGGCTCAGGTACATGAGATATCACCATCCAGATAAATCACACCTGTCACTTTCAAAACTCTGTCTGTAAGGTGTGGAGTAAGTTATCTCCACTATAAAAAGTTCTCAGGGGGCAGCAAGTGGAATTTCAGTGAGTTGTCCTTGGAGTCACCAGTTGTTCCCAACACTCAGCAGCTGAGGAGCCCCAGCAGGACTCGGTCTGAGCTTGCTGGGTGCCTTCAGCACCTGAAGTATGGAGCATCAGCAAAGCCACATGCTCCCAGACTGCTCAGCATGCCCTGAGCAGTGACCCACTGACCAGGGCAGGGAGAGAGCACAGCAAAAGCACCAGAAAACCTGAAATTCAGTTGCTGTGCAGCAGCAATTTGTGTAGCAGAGCTGCAGCCTTGCCATGTGCTGTGAGGTGAAGGCTGCTCATCTCAGAGTCCTTCCCATGCTGTGGCCCTCCAAGGGTGTCAAGAAATGAGCTGGGCTTGGCAGTTCTGGATCAGGGTACCATGAAATTGCTTTATTTTCATTGTTTGCAGATGGGCCATGCCTGGAAGTCTGAGGTGGAATCTCCCATCAAGTCAGAGAACAGTGATCTCCAGTCTCTTCCTGACTGCGATTCAAGGTTGGAGCTGGATGAGATGAGCTGGAGAAATACTGAAGAGGAGGCCATGGGGAAGCTAGAGGGGAGCAGCCAAGAGGCAGACCATGAGGTGGAGCTGAGTGAGCCTCTCTGGAAGGATGACAGTGAAGATTACCACGAGGCAGAGAAGCCATGTGAAAACGACAGTCCTCTCCAGTTCCTCTTGGAGGTAGGGCTGGTTGGATTACAGGAGGTGGGCAGCAAAGTTCAGGCCCTCCTGAAACATTGGGATTTTCAGGGCTTGCACCATCCATACCAACAGAAACAGTCTGGGGGCACAGCAGAAGCTCTGGGTTCACGTTCTCCCCAGGCCAAGCCCAGCCTTTCCTCCCCTTTGGAGCTCCCACTGCACCCAAGCAGCTGCTTTGCCAAAACACAGCTCACCCTTAAGCACAGAAATGTCAGTGAACTGACACTGTAATAATAACACAGGGCTTCATCAGATTTTGCAAGGATTGCTAAAAATGGAAAGGCGTTCGTGAACGATTGCAAAAATAGCATCTCTGCTGTTTATTTCTTCTCCCTTTTGCCTTCACAATTTTTAGTAATAAATCACTGTCTTGCAGGTAACCCAGATGTTGGAATCTTTCTGCATTGGCAGCACAGAGTCATCACAGACTCTGTGGGATTATTGTGGCTCGGGGAAGCAGAGTGATGGAGAGGAAGTGAGGAGCCAGGAAAAGACCACAGGAACAGCAGTCTCAGGAGCAGAGGAAAGTCAGCTGCACATCCTGGCAGAAGATGAGGAAGAAAACTTCCTGGGAAGAGAGGTAGGAGAGTGGTGGTCCTGAAAGAGTCTCTGGCCCTGGCTGAGAGATGAGACAGTGAAGGAAACCAGCTCTAGAAGAGATGGGGAGCCCCAGGGTCTGAGGGGAGACAAAACACACGAGGAACACAGAAAAAATGTATGAGGGAAGGGTGTTTTTTATGTATGGCTGTGTATAAACAGGAAGCTTGTTACAGATGAAACCCTCAGATGTGAGTTGGAGGAATTGCTCCTTGGCAGTGTAAAGGTGACTCATGAGAGCTGGCAGGCTGCTCTCAGGTTTAAGGCAAGGTTGGAATACTTGCCTGGTTCTAATTGCTGTGTTTTGCAGCACAGCTTGGCTGGTTTCAGGCCCACGTGGCTGTGCCAGCAATAACCATCTGCCCCTGGGGACTGTCATGTCTTAGAAGCAGGCACTGTCTAGCCTGGGTTTGCATCAGTCCTGTGTTTGGGGCTGTGGGCTCCCACCAGCCTGCTGGGTATTCCTGGGAAAGCAGCACAGCACTGGAGGAACAGGGCCATCTTTCCACACTTGTTCTCTTGCAAACTCAGGACACTGGAGACAAATAACCCCCAGGATTTCACCTCTTCAGCCAGGACAGTGTATTCCCAGCAGTTATCTGCTCCCAGCAGCTCCCTCTCAGTTCTCCCAGTGGTCACAGCCAAACACACAGTGCCCAGTTTCTGAGAAGTCTGCTCGTGCTTCAGATCTGTTGAGGATTCTGAGGTGCTCCTGCACGAAATCCCACTGAGCATTTTACTGGCAAACCACTGCAACAACAGCACCAGTCTCCTTCCTGGCTGAGTCTATTCCCTGTCATTTTAACGTGGGAGTTTGTGAGGAAACAACCTTGTTGAACTCTGGGGGTTCCTGTTATCTGTATCTGCAGCTTTACCAAGCCTGAGGCAGCCTTACCTCAGCTCCTGATTGCCCTCTCTACATCCATGACTCTTCCCAGAGAGCAGACACAACACTGGGCACCGCTCAGCTGCACAGGGTTTGTGTCAGCCAGGGGTGGATGTCATCCAAGAGATCACACACAGCTCCTGCTGGGAAGTCTGAGTGAGGTCAAACAGCATCCTCTGAGTAACAGAGCAGGCAAGCTCCCAGCTGAGCCTGGATGCAGCAAAGGGATATGCAGCAGGCTGGCTTCTAGATGAAGGATTCAGGTAATGTGCTGCCATTTTAGATGTGTCCTCTGTGCTCTTCAGGAAGAGAATGAAGACACACCTGGAGAACCCCCTTCAGATGAGCTGCATTCACCTGAGATGAGTGCTCAGGCCCTGGATCAAGATGACAGTGACAGCACCTCTGCAGCCTCAGTGCTGGACTCCACAGGCTCTCCCAACATGCACCTGTAAGTAGCTGCTTCTGCCCTCTTGCAAATGCAGCAGAACAGAGTCATTTCCCTTGTCACATGAGGGAACAAGTGCATGGCACAGATCACATCCAGGGAGGTGAGATAGCCAAGCAGGGCAGGAGGGAAGGAGGTGACTTGTGCCAGCTCTGAATTTGCTGGTATTGTAGGGCATTGATCCTAAGGTGAAGTGAGAAGAGTAGAGATTAAATAAGAGATTAAATGGAAAATACATGTTTTATGTTTTCTCAAGTCAAATGGCCCTGGTGTGAGCTAGCTGCACATCAGGCTCTGTCAGGCAATGCACAGCCCAGCATTACCAGCCCCTCTGAGCAGGTGCAGCTGTGTCAGTCACATGCAGGCTCTGCCACCTGTGTGATAACTTGGAACTTTAAAAATAAAAACGTGGGTTTTTGAGAAGAGAAACTTCATTAAAACCTCCTCAGTAAAGTTTGGAACTGCAGAGTAGCTTGAGGTTTTTCTATCCAATCTGGTCCTGTTCCTTATCTCAGCTTTGCTTTTACCTCTTGTCCTGCATCTTCCTGCACTCTGGATGTTCAGTTGTGCATTCTGGTGCAGAACACTCCCACCATCACACTCCGAGGCTTTTTGTAGCTTCATCCACCTGGGTGTGGTGGGAGCCAGCAGAATTGTCACCTCCTACTTTGTCTCGAGTGTGATGATCTGGCAGTATCTTCACTCCACAGGCTGCAGCCAAGCTGGAATAACCCCCTCCAGCACCTGATCCTCAAAAAAAAGCTCCTGTCCATCTGGAGGATGATAGCCAGCGTGAGAGCAGAGAGCTGCATCAGCATGTCCTGAACACACTGCCCTGAGTCCCAGCTCCTGTGTCACCTGTCCCAGCTCCTGTGTCACCTGTCCCAACCCTCCCCTCCCAGGGGCTGGCCTGTCTCTCCAGGGCTTTGCTCTGGGAACAGCTGCCTGCTGCAGAGCTGGAGAGAACACTGCATTTTGATTTCCTCTGCTTAATGTGGCAGAGCCCAAATGCTGCTTCCTACACAGCTGGCACAACACTGGCTGTGCATCAGGGCCAGCAGGGAGAGGCAAGCCCTGCTCCATGTTTTTGGTGCAGGGGCAGGCAGAGAACATTCCTTGTCTTTGTCCCTGTAGGTTCAGCAGCCCGTTCCTGAAGCCAGTGTCAGAGAAACAAGCCCCTGGATACAGGGATGTGGTAAAGAGGTGAGTTTGTGGAGGAAGTGCTCACTGGCTGATTTCTCTCGGCTTGTTTTCTGTCTTCTCTGGTTTCCAAAGGGCCAGTGGGATGGTTTCCTTCCTCCTTTTCCAGAGTTTGGCTGTCACCAGCATCTCCCACTGATTTCTCTCAGTAAAACTCCCTTCTGGGTAATTAGAACCTGGAAGCTTGCACTGACTCTGGAGCTGGTGGGAATTGTGCCTGCCCTGTGCAGGCATTGCATGGCTGGCTCATTGCAGGGACAGTCCCTGGGCAGGAGATGCAGGCCCTGCAGCTCAGCAGTCCCTTCTCCCCGTGCCTGGAATGTGCCTCAGGAGATGCCCCCTCCTCACCCGCTGCGAGCGCCCCAGATGTTTCACTCTCAGCACAGAAGTGGGTCATAAGAATAATTCCCAGAGAGATTAATGGCATTTTTTCAGAGCTGAATCATGTTCTATTCTGGTCACAGCTGTCCTCTCTGCAGCCATTCATTTTCCCATTCTGTCAAAGTAAGGGAAGTAATATTTATTCCCTATCATGTTCCCCTTACCAGCACTGCTATTTTTGCTGGTGGCACCATTCGATCTTTAGGGGGTTTAATAGATACCTATTTTAGTAACTTTTCTTTCTCCACTAAGACCTGGACTGACTTCCTGAAGACTAATTACTGCTTGCCTTCTCTGGAGCTCAGCATCCCATTTTTTCCAGAGGTGACTGCTAATGACCTGCCAAGTTGATTGGATAGCAAGTGTCGCATTGGCTGAACTCACTTTTGTCTGGCTCGGAAGAAAAGCCTTTCTCACTCCCCCCTGTGTGTCTTAAGCAATAAAGTTGATTGAAAATAGCTGTGCTTTCAGGGCTACCCTGAAATGAGAACAAGCACACGCATGCAGATCCCAAAGGATGCCAGGCCCTGGGTTGCAGTTCCATTCTTCTCCTCTCTGTCTTTTGTAGACCCATGGATTTAAGCAGCATAAAGAGGAGGCTGTCAAAGGGACACATTCAGTCCGTGATGCAGTTCCAGTGTGACCTGATGCTCATGTTCCAGAACGCTGTGATGTACAACAGCTCCGACCACCACGTGTTCCACGTGGCTGTGGAGATGCAGCGAGAGGTCTTGGAGCAGCTGCAGGTCTTGGCTGAAGCTCTCCTGTTGTCCAGGGACAGGCTGGAGTGAGGCAGAAGGTAGCCAGCCCTGCCTGAGGCCTCTCTCAGTTGGAGCAGCGTTGTCTCCGTGGGTCAGGGCATCTCCTGGGCTCGGTGGATGTGCTGCTCCTCTGCTGAGGAGCAGCGTTGTCTCCGTGGGTCAGGGCATCTCCTGGGCTCGGTGGATGTGCTGCCGTGGCCTCGGGTAGATCTCATTATCCCCAGTGCTGGTTGATGGGTTGATTCGGAGCAGTTTTTGGGAGGCTACCACGTTGGATCCAGTGCTGGCTGCTGGGTTGATGGGTTGATTCGGAGCAGTTTTTGGGAGGCTACCACGTTGGAAGCCTCCATTCTTTTTGGGAAAAGCAGCGATGTAGCCCTGCAGGGAGAAAAGTTCCCTAGGATGAAAAGCAAGGGAGAGAATGCCGTGTGTGGCCAGGTGGCTGCACACCGGGCACGGCAGCGTTCCCGCGTTGGGGTTCTTGTGCTCTTGTCTTGGGTCGGGTGGGTCCAACGTTACCGGCACTGACCACACCCAATAAAGGCCCGTGTTGAAGCTTGCCCCGGCCTGCCTGGGACTGGGACCGCGACTGGAACTGGGGCTGGGTCCGCAACTGGGACTGGGTCCGCAACTGGGACTGGGACCGCAACTGGGACTGGGACTGGGTCCGGGACTGGGACTGGGACTGGGAGGGGTCCAGAACTGAGACTGGGACTGGGATCGCGACTGGAACTGGGGCTGGGTCCGCAACTGGGACTGGGTCTGGAACTGGGACTGAGACTGGGAGGGATCCAGAACTGGGACTGGGACTGGAATCGCGACTAGAACTGGGGCTGGCTCTAGAACTGAGACTGGGGCTGGCTCCAGAACTGGGACCGGGATTGGAACTGGGACTGGCTCCAGAACTGGGACTGGCTCCAGAACTGGGACTGGCTCCAGAACTGGGACCGGGGCCGGGAAGCGCGGGATGGAGCGCGTGGCCGGGTGGGTACAAACACCGCTCGCCATTGGTGCTCCCGGCTGTCAGTCACTGCCAGAGCGGCTCCGATTGGCTGTCGGAGAGCCGCGGGCGTGTGTCGCGGCGGGACGCGTGCCCCGGAAGCGGAATCGGGCTGGCGCGGCCATGGCGCGGGAGAAGCCGGAGGCGGCGGCCGAGGCGGAGGCGACCCCGGAGCTCTCGTACCGGGAGCAGCTCGACTTCCTGAACCCCATCGCGCAGCCGCTCGCGTCCCGCAAGCTCACCCGAAAGCTGCTCAAGTGCATCAGGAAAGGTCTGGCGGCGCCGGCGGCGAGGGGCCGGGTGATGGCGCGGTCCCGCACGCTGCGCTTCTCACTCAGCCCCTCATGCCCTGCTTCTCTTGCAGCGACCAAGCACAAGCAGCTCCGCCGCGGCGTGAAGGAGGTGCAGAAGTTCATCAACAAGGGCGAGAAGGGGTAAGTGCTGGCCTGGCCCCGCGGCCCGCTGCCCCGCCGGCGCGGCCGCTGACACGGCTGTGCCCGCAGGATCGCCGTGCTGGCCGGGGACACGCTGCCCATCGATGTCTACTGCCACATCCCCATCATGTGCGAGGACAGGAGCCTCCCGTACGCGTACGTCCCTTCCAAAACGGTGAGTGCTGGGGCGGGGGAGGAAGCAGCCCTGGTGACAGGGAACCCGGTGAGGAGCCCGGGCTGTGACCGGAGCCTTCCCGGGAGGTGCTGATCCGGTGCCCGAGTGAAGAACTCGGTGTTTGACCCTGACCAAGGCACAGAAGAGACAGGGGGGAGGTGTAGGAGTGTCTCACTGTGGAATCAGAGAAGTGTTTGTCATGATGGAGTTCCTGCCGCAGCTCCGGGGCAGAGCCAGCCCATCTTTGCCAGGCTCCTGTGGGCTGGGAGCAGCTCTTTTGCACACAGGGAGCTGGGGGGCAGTCGGTGTCTTTGGAGCTTCAGCCCCGGTGCGGGCAGCTCTGCAGACCCACTCTGCGGAAGAATTCTGGCACGTGAGCCAGGTGCCAGTCCCTTCTGCCAGCCCAGCTTGCAGGAGACAAGCTGGGAAAAAGGTTCATGAGGTTCTCACTTCGGGAAGAGACCTGGCCCCCCATGGCCTCCCTGTGTTCCCTCAGGACCTGGGAGCTGCAGCCGGCTCCAAGCGCCCAACCTGTGTCATCCTGATCAAGCCCCACGAGGAGTACCAGGAGGCCTACGACGAGTGCCTGGAGGAGGTGTCGGCCCTGCCCCTGCCGCTGTGAAGAGCCGGGGCCGGGCTGTGCCCTGCCCGGGGAACTCCCTCACACGGCTGTGTCTGGGGATTCTGGGGACTGATGGGGGATGCTGAGCACTGTGGGGTGAATAAAGGTGTCTGCGGGTTTGTACAAAGTGGTCCTGGTGCCCGGGGTGAGGGCTGGGGGTGTCCGCGGCTGGGTTAAAGCACAGCGAGGCTGAGGCTGCCCCGGGAGCCCGGGCAGGCCCCGGCCGGCCCCACACAGCCCCCTGACCCCCACCCTCATGGCGGGGAGCCCCCCGACCCCGAGGGAAGCAGAGCAGAAGCCCAGAGAGAGAAATGCAGGTTTATTGCAGGAATGGGGTGCAGAGCCGGGCCTGGCCTTCACGCGGTTCTGCTGTGACACACAGAGCAGGGCTCTCCTTCCAGCACCTCTGGGCTCCCCGGCTCCCCCTCACCTCCCCTGGGAGGGGGGACCCCAGCCTCTTCCCCAGCACAGGCACATGCCCCAGTCCTCTCTCCCACCCCAGTTTCTCCCAGTGTGGCAGAGCACCAGTTCCCATCCCTCCTTGCACAAGGCATTCCCCCATCTCAGCCCGAAGAAAGCTGCACCAACCACCTCCACTGCAGAGCAGCTCCACACTGGGGCCACGAGAAGCACCTCTGCTGGGGCAGCTGCCCCCTGCCAGCAGCACCAGAACTCCTCAGGGTTTCCTCCTCTGCCTGCCCACTGGCACCGCCAGCCCCAGGGCCCTGCTGACAAGGCAGCCACTGCAAACAGCAGCTGCACCCCACAGCAAGGCAGTGGGGTGGGGGACAGGGCTTAAGCTTCTCCTCACAAGACATTAAGTTACTGTGTTGTAGGAACAGGGGGCAGCAGAGCAGGAGGGACAGGGAATGTCTCACAGGGTGCTTGGTTTCTGCCCTCATGGCAGAAGGAATCACAGGGCAAACACTCCTGGAGACAGAGCACGGGGCACATGCAAGACCCCCACCCTGGCACAGATGACCCCCCCGCCCTCCAGAGACCCCCACCAGAAGGGCCTGAAGTGCTGCAAGAAGGAGAAGCTCCCCTGTGGCAATCGGTCCTTCAGCCCAGGGCAGCGCCGAGCGGGGCCAGTCCTTGTGCACACCCTGAGATCGTCCCTTTGCAGCGGCAAGAGACCTTCCCCCTTCTCAGTCCCACTGGCATCCCACCCCTCAGATCTTGGAGGACTCCACGCGCTCGATCCAGGGCGAATCGATCCTGACATCCCTGGGCTCCGCCCGCAGCTGCCGCA